CCAAGTTTAAGAATAGCCTACGCAAGAAGTATTTATTTATTTTTTTGTAATGCGTTTTTTCCCTCTCTATTTAACAGCATTAACTTCCAATGAAAGACGTCTTCCCTCAGGTAGATTCAGTGTTTTCCTGCCGTGCTGGATGTTGGGCTCATGATCAATGATCTTTGGCTATTCGCCCAAACTGGTTTTGTAAAATAAAAAAGCGGGTGGTGAAGGGTGGAGTTAACGCGAGTCCCGCTCACTTTGAAGCAAGAATGGTATAACTGCAGCCTGGAGATCTCCAAATGGGGGCGGGAACTCCAAAATAGGGCGTGGCTTCCTCCCATTGACAGACAGGCACATGACACGCATGCACACTTTTCCCCACAATCCACTTCAGTGCAAACTCCGCCCCACAGCTGATTCTAAAGATTTTATTGGTTGTGTCAATTAAAGTGTTGATTTACTACACTGTGCTACAAAAAATGCTAACCCCTAAACCTACCCCATAATCCTCCCGGTGCTCCCAATTAGCCAATCCGGGCCTGATGTGAAGTGTGAATCAAGTCAATTCAAATAGACTTTTATTAAGTTATATAAGTATATATTTGATATATCATATTATATGTATATGTTATATTCAATTTATAATGTGTTTATTTAGGATGTGTGGAATGACGGTGCTTTTAGATGATGGTGGAGGTGATGAAGACTTTGACGTGGGTGACGGGATCCGGATGCTGCCGCCTCCTCCGGCTCAGTGTGACGGCGGGGTCTGGGGGGCCCGGCGGGGCCACTGCGGGTGTGTGCTGTGGACGCTGCTGCTGCTGCTGTGGAATGTCCTGCTGCTGCTGGGGTGTGTGGGGCTGATGGTCCTGATCTTCAGTCTCATTCTGCTGCCTGCCGCCCTGCTGCTGTACGCCGGCTTCCTGTGCCATTCACGGGTAGATATGCCCACAAACACATGCATACACCCACAGACACACAGATATGCCCACATACACCCGCATACAAACACACAGATATGCCCACATACACCCACAGACACACAGATATGTCCACATACACCCGCAAACACACAGATATGCCCACATACACCCGCATACAAACACACAGATATGCCCACATACACCCACAGACACACAGATATGTCCACATACACCCGCATACACCCACAGACACACAGATATGCCCACATACACCTGCATACAAACACACAGATATGGCCACATACACCCACAGACACACAGATATGCCCACATACGCCCGCATACACCCACAGACACACAGATATGCCCACATATACCCACAGACACACAGATATGCCCACATACACCCGCATACAAACACACAGATATGCCCACATACACCCACAAACACACAG